TATTTGGCTTTCAAGGATTTGTTCATGCAAAGAAGTGGAGCAAAATGTTTCTTTGTATATAAAACAAATGGATCTACATCATTCAATGCAATGGTGAGGACACTGGGGTGATGGTGGAGACCTGTTTCAGGTGTGACCTGTTAGACCTGGTACAGGCGTTCCTCATCTAATCAGAGTGAGGCTTCACAGAGGATCTTCCTGCATCCAAATTGGGTAATTATATTAATATAATTGTTGAAAGTATCTAGCAGAGCTGGCATCTTTTTTATGGAGTTAACATCAATTTGTCACTGCAACCCCAACTTTACTTTTCAGACACATGCACAAAAGCTAAGGACATGTCTTCCATGTCCCAGTGTGAGGACAGAACTGTGCTGTCCTCTCTATGACCAGTTATTCATATGACCTCAGGAACAATCCTGAAACTCAGTGCCCATGTGTCTCAGCAGGGTTACCGAGAGGGGCTGTATATAAGTGGGTCTGGTTCCTTGGCAAAGAACTTCCCTTTGTCTATGCTGAGTTAGTCCCCTGGGCTTAATTTTTTTTTTTTCTGCAGCTCTATTAACAGCAGCCATGAAGGGGCCCTCACCTCAGAGTTAAAAAGTCTCTGATTTGTCCCACAACAGACACCAGAGTGTGTGAAAATGGGCATCAGACTGGTAACAAATGCCACCTAGTTATGAGCTGAGGACCTGACATTGTCATCCCTGCACTGTGCTCTCTGCACTAAGGAGGGTTCATCTCCCTTAGATTCCCCCAAGGTGGGGGTCCCCAGACCTGGGATGCTCTTGTGAAGATTTGCCTGTGGACAAGAAAGGAGTGAGATTGAGACTGCCACAACTTGAAACATGCTTGGAATGGCTGCCATGTTGCAGAGAGTCAGCTTTGTCTCAGGAAGTTGGTCCAGGCCAGGGTCATTAATTTTTGTTGCTCAGACCCAGATCTAGGGGGCATTGTCACCTTCACAGCCCTGTTTCAGGACAAATATTTTCTTTGTAACCTGCCCTGAGGAACCTTAAACCTCCCACTTTCATCCTGCTGCACTGCGTATATCACTATTCATAGACAAACTACCAGGATATTTAGATCAGCAGAGTTCCCCTGAGTCCAAGCTCAGGAACCCTTGTCCACCTGCTCCCTCCACCCTGGAATTCAAAGCAGAGTTGAGGATCCCTGTGTGCCAACACAGACATGACCACATTGGAAAGACATGCAATTGTGACTCCTTCCTATGTCATTTGAATGAAGTCACTTCCTGTCTCTTCAGAGCTCTCTGATGAGCCTTCCCATATGAGTCCATTCTCAGGGTCCACACCCTGGAGTCTACATTAGCCTGGGCTCCTCTCCTTATGACTGTCAAAGGTGTGTCCTTTTGCATCAGTCTCAGAGGGGACTGCTCCTCAGGAGCTGTTCTCAGTCATTTTCTGTTTGCAGGTGCCCTGTGTCAAGTTCAGCTGGCGGAGTCTTAGGGAGACCTGGTATAGCCTGAAGCCTCTCCTGCAAAGCCTCTGGATTCACCTTAGTTGACTACAGCTTGGACTGTGTCCACCAGGCTCCAGGGAAGGGGCTGTAGTGAGTGGCAAATCTGAGTTAACGAACTGGAAAAATAATATTTCTACTTCATCAGTTCAAGGAAGATTCACAATCCCCAGAAACAAACCTACCAACACATTTTCCCTTAAAATGTCCAACCTCAAAATTGAAGGCATGGCTGCATATTACTGCATGAGAGACACAGGAAGGGTAATTCAGAGTGAGCCCAGACACAAATCCAACTGAGAGAGACAAAAAGCTGGTCTGCAGAGGGCACCCCAGACACCAAGGGTCATTCAGGGCCCACCCAACAGAGGATCATTCCAGGAACAGGTCCAGGCACACTTTCTTTCTCTCTCAATAGATAGATGATAGATAGATGATAGATAGATAGATAGATTGATAATAGATTGATAGATAGATAGAGGTATACAGATATATATTTATAGATATAGAGATATAGAAATTACTTTTTTTAATTTTTTGTGTTTTCTCTCTGCTCAGCAAGTCTTATCTTGACATTTTTATCTTCTTTATTTCCAACTCCCTGGCTTCTTTTACTTCATAGGTTAATACACACACACACACACACACACACACACACACACACACACACACACACCTCATGAAATTCACCATTTTAAGCATTTTAAACTATGTAATTCAATATCCCTTAATATAGTCACACAGCTCTGTTACTATCACCACAATCTAGCTGCAAAATGTTCCCTTACCCTCAAATAAAATGTCATGTCATTCAATCATCACTTCCCATTCCTGTGCCCACCTCTCCACATTATGTATTCCTTTCCATACAGCTGTCCTAGTGATGTGAATTAAATGAGGAGTGAACTAACAAAACCCTGATGTCTGGTCTGAAATTATTGAAGTGGGAAATTCTGTTTGCCCCATGCCTGTTATTGGGCCATAAATATCAGAGGACTGATGCCCCAATAAAGGACAGGTATACAGAAAAAATCATGTTTTTCAAGGTTTGTGACAGAATGGAACATTTTGTAATCCTACCTGAAGTTGTCACTGTATTACGTCCTCTCCAATCACAAACACACAGAATGGATGGTGCCCAGGGCTGCCTGAAACTCAAATCATGATACAATGTAACAGTGTAAGAAGCACATAGGGTAATGAAAATCACATCACAGGAGTGATGGTAGGGAAAATAACAAAAACAACAAACCAAAAACAAACAAACAAACAAACAAACAACAACAAAAACAGGAAGGATCAGGGACCCTGAACTCACTTCCATTTAACAGTAAGAAAAGCCCCACAGATACCAATTCATCTTCAAATTACAGATTCAAAGTCAACACATTTGAAATTCATATTATTTCTACTCATCCAAAATCTCTAAAACTATCTTTTGACTTGTGCCTCCCTATAAAGTTGAACCACAAAATCTGCAAATACCAAATCAACCAGAGATTATCCCTGGTGGGTCACTAATAAAGACGTTGAAAATGATGCAAAATGGCCTCAGAGCCCATGTCCTTCTGTTTCTTTCCTCTTCAGAGAGTAAAATCTTGACTTTAAATTGAACTCTTTCTGCCCCAAGTCTTAGATGGAGGGACAGGAAACACTCTTGCATCCTGCATGGTTCAGAGTGACCACTACGGGACAGCATCGCCTCTGCAAGCCTGTTCACTGATATCCCCTGTGCAGTTGGACATAAGAGCCACTGCACCAGAGAGCAAGTTTGGAAACCCCACTGCCCAGCCAGGGGTGCTGCTCCATTCCTCCTCCCAGACACACTGAGAATGCTGTCCCTTCCAGGTCTTCACACACACCAGGTCCATGCTTTGTCCCATATTCCGATATTAGCCCTGCACACATAGCTCTATGAAGGGCTCTCACTGGGCTGTTAACACTCCCAGATGTCAGTTCTGGTCCATCTCTTTGTGTCTCTCTCAGTCTCTCTGCAGCCTGGGCTCTGCCTGGCCACATCCATCCTCATGAAGGAAGCTCTCAGATCATGTCCCTGTCATCTCAGCTTAGCATCTCCATCCCATCCTGAGGTGTTCCCCATGCTTCTGCCTGGCATTTATGTGACATATTTTTCTCAGGGGATAGTCCAGTTTTCCATGAAGCACATAGTAAGGAGATTCACAATGTAAAGTCCAATCAAGTGAATTCATCCTTGACACAAATCAGGACTTCAAGATGGGAAACATTGTTCTCCTGGTCACACTGACACAGAAATCCAATTTTCAATCATATTAAGAATTCCAGCCACCATTGCTTTATCAGTGTTAGTGACCATTCTATCCACAGCAGGAGTTTTTATTCCATGGACAATGCATGGGGACTGAATTCTATAAATATTTTAAATAAAACATCATAAAAGTAAATATTTTTAAAAGTACATTAAAAGAAATTTATTAACAGGAAAAACATTTTTCACATTAAAGACTCTATAAAATTAAAATACAAGGTTACAAGGAAGACTATATTTGTAAAGCACATACCTGATGGAAGACAGTGGCTATTACACACTAAAAAATGGCATGCATTGTGTGGAAAAGTTCAGCATGCTTAGAGTATGGTGGCCATCTCCAAAAGCAGAGCCAAGGGAGGTTAGGAGTGAGGGTTTCCTCTCAAGGCACAAGCTCCCATTTCTGTGAGTAAAATTATGCTAGGAATTCTCCTCATTTCCCTACCTATGAACTCCATCATCACTGACAAATTTAGACTGAGAAAACAGGTCAGTTAAATTGTTTTCATAATCATTTCAATATATGAAAAATTTGCATGGTATGCATGCACACTTATTAATGGCATTTCTATTTTTTCTCCATGTGATCACATAATTATTTATCAATTAGTTAGGGTCACTGCAATATGCCAAGGGCATGCATAAAATAGAGTTTGAACAGGATATTCTAGGCACAATCAAAATCTTCCAAAAATAACAAAAGTATGAGTGTCTCTCACCTGTGCTTGGGATGAAGATACTCAGATAAAAATAATGTCATAAATAAATAAAATATTATATTGAAACTGGGTTTCTCTATTTTTTTAAGTTCTTATACCAAGATAGACATTATCTTCATATAAAATTACACTGATATATATTTGGTAATTGTAGGTTTTCAGAACCTATCTGAACAAATAGTAATCCCTATGAATCTCTTTGAAAGATGCATGAGAATTCAAAAGTTTCACCTACTCATCTAGTCCAGAATTTTTTTTCTAATGCTCAGAAATATAAGGCCATCCTTTGATCTAATTTCAACATCTCTCATAAACCTCCTGTCTCTGACACACATGGTGAGTAAGTTCAAGAGAAGAGGCATCCCCACAGAGGTTCCAGAATGACCAGGGTGTCAGACCTCAGTTCCTCCATACTTATAGGGGAAATGTTACGTACATGCAAATTCCTCTTCTCTCTCCAGATTAAATCTTCTCCTGGGCAGTAGGGACTCACAGCTCCTCCTCACAAGGGGCTGAGGTCTCTGAGGAAGGCAGGGCTGTGCTCTACAAGATGATATTGTTAGGTTTTCTCCTGTGCCTGGTGACAGGTCTCCAGGGTAAGTGTCTCAGATGTCAGGCAAAGGTCTATGGGATGGTGGTGATTGTACGTGACTAACAGAGAGTGATGCTCCTTGTCCCCAGGTGTACTGTCCCAAGTGCAGCTGCAGGAGTCGGGCCCAGGACTGGTGAAACCCTCACAGACCCTCTCCCTTACCTGCACTGTCTCTGGGTTCTCATTAACAAGCTCTCATGTGCACTGGGCCCGCCAGGCTCCAGAGAAGGGGCTGAAATGGGTCGGTGTCATATGGAGTGCTGGAAGTACAGAGTACCACCCAGCGCTGAAATCTCGGCTCAGCATCACCAGGGACACCTCCAAGAGCCAAGTGTATTTAACACTGAACCGCCTGAGAACTGATGACATAGCCATTTATTACTGTGCAACAAGCACAGCGAGGGGAAGTCAGTGTGAGCCTTGACACAAACTTCCCTGTAGGAGAGGCTGTGACCACCAGGGGGCACTCAGGGTCCCGGAACAGAACTCCCAGGAGCAGGTGCAGCTGGAGGTTTGGACTGATTTCCTCTCCATGTAACAGTTTCCCTCAGAGAACTTCTCGGGGTTCCTAATTCTGTGCTCACCTCTGAAGTCCTGGAGATAGACAAGTCTGTTGTAAAGGAAGAAAATGTATTCCAATGGACAAAAGCCTCTGCAGGACCCAGCACTACAGCCCAGCCTCACACAGCTCAGTGTCCAAGCTAGCCAGCAACAGGACTTTGTGCATGCTGGACATGGGCTTGGGAGGCATATGAACCCAACACCGGAGCAAAAAAGACTCCCGGTAGTGACAATCATTGACTTGATATCATGCTCACAACGCCAAGTGTAGGTGACATCGCAAAGGGCAGAGAAACCAACAACAGTTTCATGTGGATGTCATGCTGATGACAAATACATTCGTTAAGGGTACATGTAGCATTAATCACTTACAGAATTCAAATTTCTGGAAGGGACAGGAAAAGCTCTTCAGCAAGTCAGATTATTATAGTGAGTTCTGGTTAGCAGACCGCACTTTGTTACTGAAGTATTAACCAGCAGCAAATAATACTAGTATGTGGTTCTCCATAAGAGTATGCAATAAACCTATATGGTATTCTGGATTTTTAAAATAAAGATGAATGGGTGGGCATGGTCCTGGAAGTCAGCCATGTCTCTTGCGTGTTGTATTCTGGAATTTGGGTTAATTCTCTCTCTCTCTTTTTTTTAATTCTTCATTCCAGTTGATGTTCTATATTATATTATAGGAGCTTCTAGGCTACAGCAGAGTGGTCAGACGCTGACACAGTTTGTGATGTGATAGTCCAGTATTTCCAATTCCCACCTGGCACCACACAATATTATTACAATAGTATTGACTTTATTATCTGTGATGTAATTTACATCCCTGTGTTTAACCTGTAACTGCCAATTTGTACATGCTTATCTCTTTTCCTTTTTCACCAAGTATCCCAATGCCTCTCCCACCTGAAACCATTGGCTGGTTTTCTGAGCCTATGCATCTGTTTTTACTCTGCCTTTTTTGTTTGTTCAATTCTGTTCATTAGATTTCACATATAAGTGAGATCTCATGGTGTTTGTGTTACTCTATCTGACTTATTTTACTCAGCATAATACTCTGTAGGTCCATACATGTCCAAGTGTTGGATTTCATTTTTATGGCTAAGGATTTCATTTTAATGGCAGAATAAAAATTATGGGTTACTTTTCAAATCATATATTTTTATATTAATGACTAGATAACTATGTGAGACACATTCTGAGGAAATGGGCATAAGACAACTGAACTTCCTGCACAAAGAGGAAGATCACAACATAAAGAATAAGAATCTCAAAAGTGTCCTTTGGCTCCAGGCTTGCTTAGTCTTGCCATCCATGTACCTGAGAGGATCTCTTCCCAGTTCTGCACACTGAACCACACTGCATGTGACTTCATGCCCATGTGACACACAACTACCGTGGATAAGGTGAACATATTCCCCAGTGTCATGTGCAGGCATGAAAATAGATGAAAGTAGTAGGAGACAAAACATCTGAAGTTTACTTCTGGTGAATCATGGACAAACCTGCCTCCTGCATTCCTGATTAGAACAATATCACCTGTACACAAAATCACACATGCTGGTGATGAAAATAAGACAGAACTGCCACAGCTGACCAGTTTTACAGAAAGTTAAAAGCACCAATTCCAGGATAGAGAGGCTATTTAAAAGTTTTATTTACTTGGAATAAATACATGCAGAAAACTGATGCTCTTCATATGAATTATGACTTTATGTATGTTCTGTTATTTTTATATTATTGATTGGTATCAAGGTTTCCCATAATGAAGTTTCTATAATTTCAAATACTCCTCAATCACCACCTACTTCTTCACCTAAGCAGATCTAGTCATGACTGTGTTTTTTCTGTGTCACCAATATTTGAACCTGGTTTTACCACACTGTATAGACAATAAAAACAAAATGAGGCATTGAGACTGCTGTACATTCAGCACCAAACTCCACTATAGGAACATTACCGGGAGCACTGTCTGTTTCTCTGTGGAGTTCACACTTCTGTATTCCAATGATCCACACACTCCCCCTCCTCCAATACAAGGTCCACATGCTCTAGGGTCATTCTCTGTTTTAAGTTTTCAGTTCATATTCTGATTGTATCATATTGGAAATAAGTGTTAGATGGAAATTTGCATCTCCTCATTGTGAACCTTCTACAATTTTAATTCTTGTTCTGGTAGTGAAAGTTGACTCATTGTTCTGTTTATTACTAGTGACTTTCAAAGTCATCATCTCATTTTAAATTCCTCTCCATTTGTCACAATTTACTCTCCTAGGTCATGTACCTGTCTCCTGGAGCTGTTGACTCAGTGGGAGGAGGCACACAGGATCAAATATAAGAAGTAATTATTTTATTTTTCATATTATTATTTTTCTATTCACAAGAGGACTATCTTCATTGATTTTAGAGAGAAGGAAAGGGATAAAGGAGAGAGAGAGAGAGAGAGAGAGAGAGAGAGAGAGAGAGAGAGAGAGAGAGATTGCTTTCCATACATACCTGGACAAGGAATCAAATGAATCATATGTGCCCAGACTTGGGATCAAACCCACAACTTTGGGTTACAGGATGATGCTCCAACCAACTAAGCCAAACTGTCCAAGACTGGGGACTGTTAATAAATATACACCTTTGCACAAGTCACACGCTGGGGCCATGCCCTTCACATAGCTGTCCAACTCCAGAACTCTCTATAGTAGAAGGACTTGCAAACACAACCCCTTTACTCATGAAAAGCAGCCCAACTCCAACCTTGAAGCTCTGAGACAGGAGCCTGCCCAGGAATGCCCAGGTGTTCCCAATCCCTTGTAGGGCAGAACAGAGACCACTTACCATGGAGTTTGGACTCAGTTCACTTTTCCTTGTTGCTATTTTCAGAAGCAATGTATCTAGAAAGAGAGACACTGGGTATGAGAGTGGATATATCTGAGAGGAACAGTGAATGAGTCTCAGGTTCCTGACCTGACATCTTTGAGCTTGCACGTATCCAGAATTATGTACAGCTGGTGGAGTCTGGGTGAGGCTTGATGCAACCTGGTGGATCTCTAAGACTTCCCTACATGGCCTCTGGATGCACCTTCAGTAGCTATGAAATAAATGGGTCCACCACACTCCAGAGAAGGGTCTGGAGTGGGTGACACATCTATGATATGGCAGAAATCAGAATAACTATGCAGACTCTGTGAAAGGCTGATTCACCATCTCCAGAGACAAAGCCAAAGACATGCTGCACTTGAAAATGAGCAACCTGAGAGCTGAAGACACAGCCATGTACTACTGTGCAAGACACAATGATGGGAAGTCAGTGAAATGATATGGACACATTTGATTCCTGAGAGTACTGTGAAGATTTCTTAGAAGAATGTTTGCTTAACACAGGTCCCAAGTGTGATGATATATAATAATGATAGGATAAACATAGAGGATAAATATGCAATGACTTAAATTACATGGAAACAAAGATAGCTAACACATTCTCGATACATCCAGCCCAGATCCATGGTCCTGTGGAAATTGGGGCTTTATTAGTATTCTCTTAGGAAGGAGCCACCTGTGAAATTCCCCAAACAAATTCTTAAAAAGTCAAAACAAGTGCTCTTCTCTGTCCCTAGAACTAAACAAGGACTCAGTATATGCCAGGCAGCTGAATTTGGAGGACACGGATTCCATATGCGGAACACTACAGCTGCTCCATGACCAATCCTCAAGAATATCACCTTTGAAAGGGAGCCTGAGTAATGACCAGTGATGTCTGAGTTCTCACCTGTGACACCTGATTAGTGTGTTTGGCCAGTAATATTCATACTTAGGCATGACTGAGGATGTATCCATGACTTGCACTCGTGCAAACTGGACTGTGTGAAGATGGCCCATGAGTCCACCCATGGAAAGTGATGGGTTTTTAGAACAGATTTCCCAATGTTGTGATGCAGCAATGCCCTGCAGAGACAATTATATGCTGACTATTTATCACAGAAAGTCCCCTATGACTGAAGAACATAAAGTAAATTGGAACCTAAAATATCTATAATGTCCTGGGACAGAAAAACAAGTATGTCCCTAAGGACAGCCATCCTGGGGATAGCTGTTTCCAGAATGGCTGTGTATTAAAATGGGAGTAATTTACACTTGGTGGTGCCACCTGATGAATGCAAGGGGCTGCTCCTCTTGACTTTCATCAGGGAGCCACTTGTCCTCCATGGCTGACCCTGGAGAACATGGGGCTCTGTCAGTTCCTGTTGTCACATGGCTACTGGTTCTTGAACAGCTCCCAAATAATCACTGGCATGTTACTTAAGTTACAGGTGCCATTTTTAGATGGATGAACAAGCTGTTGTGGGGAAGGCCACCATACTGTTGTGATGGAAAATACTAGTTTAAAAAAAAAATAATAGTGAATCAGCTCAGTTGAATGAAGTACATGTTATTTTCTCTGATCTGCATGAACAGACCTGGTGTCCAAGTATGAGGGACACTTGGGTGCTGCCCAGTGCCCAGGCTATAGGTTAGCAGAATGGTAGTGGAATCCTAGTGACTATAGAAATTACCATATGAAGCCCAAGCCTGCAGAAATCGTTAGTCATATCAGGGGATCTTTGAGTAAGATCTGCCATATATCATTGGAAGAACATCCCACAATACAGGAAGCAGCAAGGGGACTTACTGGGTCCCTGTAAAAGTGGTCACCTGGGACTCTCAGGTGAAAAGATTATGGGGAACTTATGCAAAGCAGTGATTGATTCAAGTTCCATGTATTCCTCTTGTACCCACAGAGGAGCCAAGTGCCAGCAAAAATGTGATGTCTGCTAGCCACAGAGATTACATTTGGTCACAGGCTGATGTCCTTGTGGAAGTACCTACATGGCT